CATGTTTATTTTTGAGAGAGAGAGAGAGAGAGCAAGGGAGGGACAGAGAAGAGAGGAAGACACAGAATCTGAAGCAAGCTCCAGGCTCTGAGCTGTCAGCACAGAGTCCCACATGTGGCTTGATCCCACAGAGCCACAAGATAATGACCTGAGCTGAAGTCAAGACACTTAACTAACTGACTGAGCCACCCAGGCACCCCTCGTGTTTTGTTTCTTAAATTCTACATACGCATGAAATCATATGGTATTTGTCTTTCTCTGATTGACTTATTCGCTTAGCATAATACATTCTAGCTCCATCCACATCATTGCAAATGACAAGATTTCAGTCTTTTTGATGGCTGAGTGAAATATTCCATAATAAATAAATGTGTGTGTGTGTGTGTGTGTGTGTGTGTGTGTGTGTGTGTGTGTACACACCACATCTTCTTTATCCATTCATCAGTCGATGGACATTTGGGCTATCTCTATAGTTTGGCTGTTGTTGATAATTCTTCTCTAAACTCTGGAGAGGTATATACCCCTTCGAGTCTGTATTTTTGTATCCTTTGGTTAAGTATCTAATAGTGCAATTGCTGGGTCATAGGGTAGTTCTATTTTTAGTTTTTTGAGGAACCTCCATACTGTTCCCCAAAGTGACTGCACCAGTTTGCATTCCCACCCACAGTGCAAGAGGGTTCCCCTTTCTCTGCATCCTCACAACACCTGTCTCTTGTGTTGTTAAGTGTAGCCATTCTTACAGGTGTGAGGTGGTATCTCATCATGGTTTTGATTTGTATTTCCATGATGATGAGTGATGTTAGCATCATTCATGTGTTTGTTAGGCGTCTGGATGTCTTCTTTGGAAAAGTGTCTACCCATGTCTTCAGCCCATTTCTTAACTGAATTGTTTGTTTTTTGGATGTTGAGTTTGGAAGTTCTTTATAGATTTTGGATACTAACCCTTTCCTAGGTTAGTATCCAATTTTGTATCAATATCCATATTTAGTATCCATATCCAAGTATGCCATTTGCAAATATCTTCTCCCATTCCGTAGGCTACCTTTTAGTTTTGTTGATTGTTTCCTTCACTGTACAGAAACTTTTTATCTAAATGAAGTCCCAGTAGTTCATGTTTGCTTGTGTTTCCCTTGCCTTTGGCGACGTAAGAACTTGCTCCTGCTGAGGTCAAAGAGGTTGCTGCCTGTGTTCTCCTCTAGGCTTTTAATGGTTTTCTGCCTCACATCTAGGTCTTTCATCCATTTTGAATTTATTTTTCTGTATGGTATAAGAAACTGGTCCAGCTTCATTCTTCCACATATCACCATCCAGTTTTCCCAACACCATTTGTTGAAGAGATGGTCTTTTTTTCCATTGGATATTCTTTCCTGCTTTGTTGAAAATGAGTTAACCATATAGTTGTGGGTCCATTTCTCGGTTTTCTATTCTGTTCCATTGATCTATGTGTCTGTGTTTGTGCCAGTACCATACTGTCTTGATGACTACAGCTTTGTAATATAGCTTGAAATTCACAATCATGATACCTCCAGTTTTGTTTTTCTTTTTTGGGATTGCTTTGGGTATTCAGGGTCTTTTGTGGTTCCTCTTATCTCTGTTATAATTTGTATTTTCTTCATGACGTATGATGTGAAGCATCTTTTCATACGCTTATTTGCCATCTGTGTGTGTGTGTGTTTATCCTGTGAGGTGTCTGTTAAGGTCTTTGGCCCATATTTTAATCAGGTTGTTTTTGTTCTTATTGTTGAGTTTGTAAGAGTTCTTTGTAAATTTTGTATAAGACTACTTTGTCAGATGTATCTTTTACACATATTTTCTTATAGTCTGTGGCTTGTCTTCACATTTTCTTCATAAATTGTTTTTCACAGGTCAGAAGTTTTTTATTGTAATTAAGTCCAGCTTATAAATTATATCTTTCATGGATCATTTATTTGGTGTTGTATCTAAAAAGACATCACTGAACCCAAGATCATCTAGGTTTTCTTCTATGTTATCTTCTAAGAGTTTTATAGTTTTGCATTTTGCATTTAGATCTGGATCCATTTTAATTTAACTTTTGTGAAGGATTTAAGGTCTGTTTTTAGATTCTGTTTTTGCATGTAGATGTTCAGTTGTTCAAGCATCATTTGTTGTAAAGACTGTCTGCTCCATTGTATTGCCTTTGTTCCTTTGTGAAAGAGAAGTTAACTATGTTTATAGGGGGTCTGTTTCTCAGCTGTCCATTCTGTTCTGTTTATCTATTTGTCTGTTCTTTCACCAGTTCCACACTGTGTTGATTACTGTATCTTTATATCATAAAGTCTTGAAGTTGGCTACTGTCAGTCCTCCAACTTTGTTGTTCTTCAATATTGTGTTGGCTGTTCTAAGTCTTTAGCCTTTATATACAAACTTTAGAATCACGTTGTCAGTATCCATAAAATAACTTGTTGGGCTTTTGATTGGGATTGCTTTGAATCTATAGATCAGGTTGTGAAGAAATGATATCTTGACAATATTGAATTTCCCTACCCATGAATGTAGAATAAATTTCCATTTATTGTTCTTTGATTTCATTCATCACAGATTTGTAGTTTTTCTCATGTATATTTGTGCATAATTAGTTACAATTACAACTAGGTATTTTCATTTGAGGGGGGTGCTAATGTAAATGGTATAATGTTTTTAATTTTAAATTACACTTGTTTGCTGTAGGTGTATAGGAAAGCAATTAATGTTTGTATATTAACCTTGTATCCATCCTGCAAGCTTGCTATAATCACTTCTTAATTCCAGGTGTCTTTTTGTTGATTCACATTTTCTACATAGATGATCACGTCATCTATAAACAAAGCCAGTTTTATTTCCTTTTCTTTTTTTCTTTCTTTCTTTCTTCCTTCCTTCCTTTCTTTTTTTT